GTTAATGACCATTCCCAAATCTTTGCTCGCGAAGACTGGCCATTATTATTTACATCTCCACTTAAACACAGTCAATAGAGATATTGGCCAAACCTGAATAAAAATCACTGTGAAGCATATGAAAACTGACTGATTTATCTTCTGCTGTCCTGCCCTTACAGAAGAGGGGTCTGGAGAACTCTTTATATGACGCCAAGCACTGGCATGACATCGAACTGCAGAACCTAGGCTCTGTCATTTCCAAGCTGGAGGCAGAGATGGGAGAAATCAAAGTAGAAACGGAGCAGCAGCAGCGGGACCGTGAAAATCTGCTGACCAGCAAACAACAGCTGGAGAAAGACATTGCTGCATATCACTGCCTTCTGGATGGAGAGCAAAGCAGGTACTTTTCCTTAAAAGCAAGTGTGCCACAGGGATAGAGAACATGTGCTCCCTGGGAAGGGGTTGTGTGGTTGCTGGAAGCAGGAGTACTATAATGGTTCTCTTATTCATAAGACTGAGCAGTAGATGGTGAGGTTTGGAGAAGCTGCAAAAAGGAAAGAATCCCATCAAACAGAGATTCCTAATGTGTTGGAGAAGGATGGTTTCCAGCACTAACATGAAGGGACATAGTTTGGGAACATGCCGTGAGTTTCACTTCTCTGACGATTTAAGATGTGATAGTAAAAAGCTACTACAGCATCTTACAACATTAGTTGCTGCAAAGGAAATGTGTTGGTTGCCTTGGGTACATTATGCCATCCCTCCTCTTCCTTCTACACAGTCCAAATATTAAAGCAGTGGTCCTGAGAAAGCTCCCTTTCTAAGCACATAAGTTCTCCCTAAAGTGCAAGGGTGGAATTTGGATTTGACTGTACCTTTTGTAAAGAAATTTAGTTCAGGCTCTTAACATTTGTCCTCTAGGAATAACCTCTACAGTGTCAAGTACAGTAAACATCTTTACAGTGATTGGGTTGGGTTGCTTAGTTGGGCTTTGCTAAGATCCATAATCACCATTAGTCATGGAACCTCTGAGAATCTGACTTGCTCTTCTTCTCAGGCCAAGGAGAATTTTTAAAATAATCTGATCCTGCTGAAGCTGATGAGATTTCTTATTTGTAGTAGTGACCAATTTTTATTTTTCTCCTTTTTCTACTTCCAGCTGATTATGAAACTCCCAGCCCAGAGAAGACCATTGCCATTAAAGCAAAAGAAGATGTCACTGCCAGTTATGTTCGTGGAAGCTAAAAACCCATCAAAGCAGCCTGCTTTATTCAGTTTGATTCAACAATCAAAGTAGGTTGTAGCTTGAACAACTTTATTAGACCCTTCTCATGTAATTGCTTTGCTTACAGATTTCAATTTACTCATGTTGTTAAAATTATAATAAAAATAAAGAATATCAGGGGTTTGTTTGGCTTTTTCTTTCTTTCCCGTATTTTTCATGATAGCTGAAGGGGGTTAGATTAAGAACATCAGCTCTCCACTTCCTAGCAACTAAACTCTTCCTTTTTGTAGTACAAATGTGTTAAGACTGAACTACCCCTCCACTGTGCACACAGCACCCACATGGAAATGGCGAGCGCTCTGTTGCATCACAAGACCATCAGCTCAGCAGTGTGAAATCTAATTCAAACAACACCGAAGCAGTCAAGTGCAATTAACTCAATGCAATTAATTTTGCAATACGTAAACCAGCAGTCATTAATGCAAACATGCCAGCAGTACTTTATAAACACATTTTTAACTCTAGACTAAACTTCTGGAAAAGCTGAAGGCGCAGGACAGCAACAGCAGTTCTGTCTGCAATCCCGGTTGCATCCTTTTACTAAATACTGAGAGTCTTAAGCCAGGGTGTCAGTTTGTGCAAATGGGATACTTTTTGATATATTGATATATTTTGATATTTGTTTTTGTATGCTTGGTTCTTTCTTGTTATCAACATCTCTCCAAGGCAGGTTGGCCAAACTTCTTCTGAACAGGCACCCACATAGCATCAACATGATGGGTGACCCTAGGTAGTTTCCCTTATTTTTAAGGTATCACGATGAGAAATATTTGCCATCTTTCACTTCTGACTTTCTTTTATATTTTAAACATTGATAACCTCATTGTATTGCACGTGCCGTACACATAAAATGCCAAGATGGATCCTTCATTTTCAGAGAAACATAATGAACCTTTGCCTCTATCACACAAAATTTTAGAAGATGGCTGGCTTCCCTTCACAAGTCTCCACATAGGAATGAAGTTAACCATGCATGAGTTCGTTGGATTAAGACTTTACAGTGGGTGACAACACAATTCAGACTGACAACACAAAGCAGACTGAAAGACTACTGAGAAATGGCACACAGCATATGATAAAATCAAACACCCTCGAAACCCACTAAACTCAATCCACCAGTAAATTACAGGAATAGGCACACAAGTGTTGTCATGCCTTTCCTTGCACATTCCCCCCCACATGAAAAATCCTTTCTGATACAGTTACTTGACAAACAATCCCTCATTCAATCTTTGCAAAAAGTCCATCTGGCATGTACTACCTGCAAGATTTTGATCAAAAAATTACTGGATTAAAAGATTACCCAGCAATGACCAAAAAAAAGAAAGGCAGATGATGGCAGATTTCCTCTTTTTTTTTTTTTTTCACAGAATGTAGGCTCCTCAGAGCAGCAATATTACTTTCTCACACATCAGTGCAGACAACTTACTAAACTGGGACTCCATCAGGAATACTGATGATGAGAGAAAATATAAACACACAGTGGTACAAGAAATGAGATAGCACAGACGCTCGGGTTGTGGCTAACTGGATGGTGTCTAGGAATGGTCACTTTTTGGCATTAACAAAACATAAGCTCCCCCTCATTCTTGACACAGAAGAGAGAGCAATATCCCTGTGATTTGAAAATGAAGAGGGACTTTACAAAGCATAAAAACATACAATCTGGATTCAGATCTCTTTGCTATCTTCTAGTGATGCTTCAGGCATGAAAAGCAACTGCTGGCTATCGCACTGTGAAACTGTTCTTTATAAATACCATTGATGGAGAGAAACCTGATGAAATTCTGAGTCTACAACTATACTGTCATGTGAAACAAAGATATTTTTTTTAGATTTCTTATATGCCATGATCCAGTTTATTTCATAAACATTACATTAGATTCATACTGAGATGTTTATTCATTGGAATGGAAATAGTTTCTTGCAAAATCATGAAGGTATTTCAGCATGGGGAAGTGTCTGGAAAAGGAGGAAGCATCTAACCATAAATAATGAATTTCCAGCAGCTTTTCTCTCTATCCTTAGCAAAGACTAAAAGCCACAGAAAAGATTATTTTTGTGAATAGTCCATCAGAAGTCAAATGTAGCACGTCTGGCCCTTCTAAATCAAAGTGTTTCCATATGACAAGCTAAAGCTCTTGTGAAGAAATCTCTCTGTACTTTTACACAGACTGCTGCCAGCTGCCTAGGAGCCCCTCCAGCATGCCTTGCCAGCCTGAATGTTGTCTAAGCATTAACAGTCTTCACCATGTGAGACAGGAGATTGAGAACATGAGAGACTAAAGGCTTTCACAACTATTTGTACACACTGAGATTCATAAACTGATTTAGCTTTATATTTATCCCCTAGTCTAGCAGTTGCTCTATTAGATACATGTGAACATGTTTCCAGCTGGTTTTCCTTAGAAAACCAGGATGAGAAAACAGATTTTATGATGTCCTGCTGCAGTATCTCTGACACCCATATTCCTATGAAGGGATTTGTGGCATTTGCTGTTATGAGCGTACAGATAATACAATCTAACAGCCAGCTGCTGCACAAAAGGACATCTCTACTCCCCCTTGCATGCTATGTATTCCCATTGCACCATCTTCTGTTAGCACCAACACTTGGCTGATGTCTCAGGAGACAGTTCAAGAATCAAAATCAGCAGAAAATTAGCCCTGCAAAATGCTGGGAACCTTTCCTTCCACTCAGTCCCCTGAATCAGGCCACTGCAGGGGCAGACCTGCACCAGTAGCAGAGAGGGGAGGAGAACAGGAACTAGTCCAGGCTGTAAAGCACAGCCATCCCCCTTGGTGACAGCTAGTCACTAGGTCAGATGAGCTGTACTATCAAACCATTCGTGTACTTTATCCTCCTCCTCAGCCAGGCACAGCTTCTTCTGCACTACAGCTTGAACAGATGCTGCTGCATCCTTGGGAGAAGCAGAGGGTGCCAGCCCTATGCTAGTCCCTGCCTCACTGAAGATTTCACACTGAGCAGAAACATAGCACACCAGGTAAGAACTAGTACTCTAGCCTACCATTCTACTGTTTGCATTTCAGTATAAGGATTATTATACTGATTCTATTGTTAAAAGATTATTTTTAAGGTCACTTTCAAGCTAGCATTGTCTAAAATTTAACATTTTAACAAAACACCATGCACTGCTGCCACCACTATCTGCTTTCAGATAGCAATTACTGGTGAAGAAATGGGCATGATAACACTTCTCCCTTCTGGCTGTAGAGGTCTGAAACTACAGAGAGAGAGCCTCAGAGCTTAGAAGAAGGTTAAGCTCCTAAAGAGAACTGGGCCCATGCTGTGACGATAACTACACCAGAACCCTTCTGCAAACTGCTTTGCACCTAATGGTACCTTTTCCAATTTCCTCAAGCAGGCATCTGCCTGAAAGTTACAAAATGAATTGTTCTTCTGCTTGTGCTCTGCAAATGTCAAAGCAGTTTGCAGTGCTACCACCTTCATGTCACAGAATGATAATTAGGTACAAAGAAGTAAGGGTAAGATGAAACACTGGGGGACTGGAAATGGAAGTCTGCTCTTAACTCCTGCATCACCCACAACTCACTTCGACTTTCCTCCCTTTCAGTTTCTCCACAAGAACAGTGGCTGCTGCATCACTTCCCCTACATGCAGTAGTGCTTCACGCCTCAGGCTTTATAATATGCACCAAGATGCACAGGGAACAGCATCATGGCAAGGCTCACCATAGCTACAGGACAGAGAAAAGAGGCAGGCAAGCACCACTGTGTGCCGTGACAGGCACACTGCAGTGTGCACTGCTAATGTGGGGGAGGAAAGAGACAAAGTCCTCAGTGCTCCAGGTAAATCCATACCTGAGCAGAGGCATCAGAGCGCTGTGTCTTGCCAAAGGTGGGTCACACAGGTCAGTGATACACAGTGCAGCAGAAAGCTGTGTGTTGAGCTCATGCTCCCATCACAGCAGTGCGGCATTCTGGACATATTCCTTCCATTATAAACATTACTTCTGCCAGCCAGGCCTGCGAGCCATTCTTCAGCGAAATGTCCTCTGTGCAAGTATTGAGAAATGCTGAATTCGAGAAAGGAAAACACAAATAGTGACCTTTTTTCTGCCTCTAACTTTTTACACAGCGACAATCTTAACTGTAAAAGCCAACATAAGGCATTCGCAGTGAACTACAAATGCCATGCATCAGCACATTTTCACAATTTTACATAAAAATAAAACTAGAGGTGGGAGGCAAATCCAAGCATAACCACATAACTAATGCTTCCTTTAAAGCGCCAACTGAGACATGTCTTTAAATCTGAATCTAAGCCTTCTGAGGCCTAAAATGTTGCTGTTATTTTCCATGGTTTCCGCTGAGTCTGTTCCAGTTTAACAGCTGAAATGTTTCTCAGTACTCTGCTCCTGACAGGTATTAAGTTTCTAATCCAGAGCTGGGCATTCCAGCCTTGCAGCACTGTGTTTGCAAGAGACAAGTGACGGAGATGCCAAAAGCAGCAAAAAGGCATCAGGTTCACTTTCATCAGCCTGATAACGGGGTTATCCATAATAATGCAACTAAAATATTTTACCAGCTGCAGAAGTTCAGAATCAGGCACAGCACTATACTTAGTGGCCATTATTAGCCACAAAAGCTGAGGAACACAAACTATCTGCTTAGTTGCATGGTATTATCACTGCTGAGCCTGCAAGTCACAGCACAGTGCAGCGTGGAGGTACATTGGCTTCCTGGGCAGTAATGGAGCACAAACAAGGAAATGCAGCGCTTCAACAAAAGGAATGTCAAACACTCTTCCACACCCAACTGTCCCCTGTCACACCTTCCACGAAACCTCCTATCAGCTGAAGGGAAGAGTAAGAGGGGAGCACCAAGGAGGCACAGAAAATGAGCCTTAGCTACCAAATATGCTCCCTACTTCAGTAATTATTTCTGTCACAAGTAGAAAGTGTCGTTGATCACGCGGCATTCTTGGTGTTACCAGACGAACTGTTACACTTGCAGCTTTTAGTTCTCAAGGCCTGCTCTGTGCAGGCTCAAACCCTAGAAGAACACAGGTAGTAGAGAAATACAGGGAAGACATAGGATGGCATATAAAAATATGACTGTAACACATCTCCCAA